CCCCCCCGGCCCCGCCGGCCCGGCCGAAGGCACCGCGGGGGGGGCGCGCCGGGCACCGCGTGGCGGGGAGGGGGGGCACACGCGAGTTCCGGGGGGGAGACCCCCCCACGCGTGTCTTGAGGGGGCACACACATTTTGGGGCGCACACACAAGTCCCAGGTGCGTGTCCTGCGTGGGGCGGGGGGGCACACGCGTGTCACAGACTCTCTGGGGGGGTGTCCTGCCCCGGGCTTGGGGGGGGTACGTTTCCGGACACCCCCCCTTGCGTGTCGGGGCGCGCACAAGCCCCAGGTGTGGGTCCCCGCCCCCGGGTGCCCACGGGGGGGTCAGGGTTGCATACAGGTGCCCCCAGGGCGGGGGGGGTCCAGGGGACACCTGGGGGGGCTCGATGGCACACGGGGTCCCCGGGGACCGGGGCTGCGTTCGTGCGCCCAGGGGTGCTCCGGGCACCGGGGGGGGGGGGGCGTTGGGGCTCCCAGGAGCACCTGAGGGGTCCCCAGGACCGCCCCCAGGGTCCCTACGAGCACCCAGGGGCGCACTTGGTCACCCGGGACCACCCGGGGGTCCCCAGGAACACCCCCAGAGCCCCCTTTTCCCCCCGCCCCCCCAGCCGGTGGGTGCTGCCGAAGGAGGGGCGGGGGGTCCCGGCGGGGGGCGGAGGTCCCACCGCCCCCCCCTCGTCACACGGTGCTCTCCAGCATCCAGTGGGTGCTGCCGAAGGAGGGGCGCAGGGGTCCCAGGGGGGTCCCCTCGGGCGCGTCCAGCCGCGGGAGGGATCCGTGGCGTCGGGGGCGCGCCCGCCGGGGGTAACTGTGGCTGGGGAACAGCCCCCGGGACCCTCCCAGCCCGGGACCCCCTCCGGGGCCATCCCCGAGCGCCCCCCCCGGGCCCGGGCGGCAGGGGGGGCAGCGGGGGCAGCTCGAGGGGCTCCGCGGGCCGGGGGCCGCCGTTGGTCTGGGAGCAGACGCTGGTGAGCGCGGGCGGGGGTCGCCGCGCCCCCGCCGCCTTCCAGCGCGCCGTGAGGATGAGGATGAAGACGAGCACGGAGGCGGCGATGGCGGCGCCGATGACGATGATGACGGTGCCCCCCAAGAAGTGGGGCCGGGGGGGGGCGGCGCAGCCCGGGGGGGGCGGCGGCAGTGGCGAAGGAGACGCAGCCGAGGGGGCGGGGGGCGGCGGGGGGGTCCCCGGCCACGTGCAGCGCGGACACGCAGAGCTCGTAGAGGCGCCCCGGGGCCAAGTCCCGCAGCACGAAGGTGCGGGTGGAGGGGGGCAGCAGCCTGGGGGGGGTCGGGAGGGTGTGACCCCCTCTCCCCAAGACTCCCCTGAGTCCCCCCCCCGAGACCTGCAGGACTCCACAGAGACAGCTCTGAACCCCCTCAAAGAGCCAGAGAGACCTCTTCAAACCTCCCCCGAACCCCTCAAAGACTCCCCTGTGACCCCCCTGATCCTCCTTAGGACCTTTCAAAGACCCCCCTAGAAGCCCCTCAAGACCCCCTAAAGACTCTCCAGAGCCCCCAGGCCCCCCGCAGTGGCCCCTGACCCACCCTTAGAAGCCTCCCAGTGCTCCCCAGGACCCCACAAAGACTGTCCAGAGCCCCCAGGACACTCCAAGACCCCCTTGATCTGCCCCCTCCCACAGCCCTCCAGGACCTCCCAGAGCCCCTCTGTGAGACCCCCGAGCCCTCTCATGACCTCCCTATTTGCCTCTGGGACCCCCCAAAGCCCCTCAGGACACCCCAAGACCCCCTTGAACCCTGCCCACAGAGCCCCCCAGGCCGTCCCATGACCCCTTCAAGCCCCCCAGGACCCCCCCCAGGAGCCCCCACCTGTAGACGAGGGCGTCGTCGGCGGAGCTGTTGTACTGGATCTGCACCATCCGGACTCCGGGCACGTGGCGCTGGGGGAGCCACCGGATGCGCGCCGAGGACCCGGTCACCTCGGCCGCCACCACCCGCCGCTCCCCGGGCCCCGCCCCCCCAAAGGTCTCGTTGCCCCCCGCCCTGGCCATGTCAGAGGGGCCGGGCCCGGGCTCGGGGTCGTCTCCGTCCCGGTCCCTGCGCGGCACCGGCAGCGGCACCACCACGACGTCGACACGCGCGGCCGCCTCTCCCGCGGCGTTGGCGGCCACGCAGGTGAAGCCGCCGTGGTCGCGCAGGGTGGCCACGCGCAGCTCCAGGGAGCCGTCGGCGCCCACGGAGCGCCGGGAGCCGTTGTGCACCACGCGCCCGTCGGGGCCCAGCCAGTGCAGCGCGGGTGGGGGGTCCCCGACGGCGGCGCACCCCAGGCGCAGCGGCTGCCCCTCGGTGACGGCGGGCGGGTGGGCGGCCGCGGCGGTGACGGCGGGGGCCCGGCACGTGAGCTCCTCCTCGGGCACGGCGCCCAGCAGCCGCCCGGCCAGCGGCGCCGGCGTGGCGCAGGTCTCCAGGCGCCCCGGCTGCGCCACGCGCCGCAGCCACAGCAGCTCACAGTTGCAGTGCAAGGGGTTCCCCCCGGCCGCCAGCGCCGGGCCCGGCGGGCCCGGCACGGGCGGCAGCGCCCGCAGCCGGTTGGCCGTGAGGTCGAGCCGCGCCAACCGCGGCAGCCGCGCCACGGCGCCCGCCGGCACCCGCTCCAGCAGGTTGTGGTCCAGCGTGAGCGTGGCCAGGCTGGCCATGGCAGCCACGGCGTCCCAGGGCAGCGCCGGCAGGTTGTTGTGCGACAGGTCCAGGTCCTCCACGGTGGCGGCGAAGGCGGCGAAGGCGGCGGCGTCGATGGCGGCCAGCTGGTTGTTGGCCAGGATGAGGTGGCGCAGGCTGGCCAGCCCGCGGAGCTGGGGCCCGCTGAGCGCCGGCAGCCGGTTGCCGTCGAGGTGCAGCGCGCGCAGGGCGCGCAGGTCGGCGAAGGCGCCGGGGGCCAGGCGGCGCAGCCCGTTCCGCGACAGCGTCAGGTGCACCAGCGAGCTCATGTTGGCGAAGTCGGCGCGGCCCACGGCGCCGATGAAGTTGTCGGCCAAGCGCAGCTCCACGGCCCCGCGGTCCAGGCTGGGTGGCACCGCCAGCAGCCCCGTGCGGGCGCAGAGCAGCGTCGGGCTCGGTGCTGCCGCCGGGCACAGGCAGCGCGGGGGGCACCGGGGGGCGGCCGGGGGGGCCCCGCCTGCCACCGCCCCCAGCACCACCAGCGGCACCAGCAGCTTCGCCATCCCACGGCGGCGCCTGTGGGGGGGAGACGGGGTCAGGGGGCGCTGGGGGGGTCAGGGGACCCTGCCCGGCCTCCCAGAATGTGTCAGATCCCGCCAGGACCTGTCGTATCCCACCAGATCCCCTCAGATCACCAGGGATCCCCTGAGAGCTCTTGGAATCCTGTGGCACCCCACATGCCCTGTGTGTTCCCGTGGGGTGCCGCCTGACCCAGGAGATCCCACGAGATCCCAAAGACCTCACGAGATCCCATTTGCCCTATGAGATCCTGTGTCACCCGATGAGATCCCATGAGATCCCATGTGCCCTATGTGTTTCCATGGGATCCCAGTGATCCCAGTGATTCCCATGAGCTCCAGGGAGATCCCAGTGATCCCAGTGATCCCATTACCTCCTCTCAGGGCTCCATGTTGGTCCCGTCTGGGCGTCGCCGCGGGGCCTGTGGGGACAGGGGAGGGGCCAGTACGGACCAATACAGACCAGTACAGACCAGTACGGACCCATATCTATCCACCAGTACAGACCAGTAGAGCAGCACACAGCCCAGCATGGCCCAGTACAGCCCAGAACAGCCCAGTATGGCTCCACACACCCCAGTATGGCCCAGTCCAGACCAGTATCTGCTGCTCATAACCTGGAGCATCCATTACCCATCCACGGTCTAATGAGGCCCAGCACGGCCCAGTATGACCCAGTACAGCCCAGTATGGCCCAGTACAACCCAGTATAGCCCAATGGGAGCCTGTACAGACTGCACAGCCCAGCATGGACCAGTACAAACCAGTACAGCCCAGTAAAAGCCAGTACAGGCCATCACAGCCCAGTATGGCCAAGGATGGCCCAGTATGACCCAGTACGGCCCAATATGACCCAGTACAGCCCAGTATGATCCAGCACAACCCAGTAACACTCAGCATGTCCCAGTGTGGCCCCGTAGAACCCGGTATGGCCCAGTACGGACGAGCAGAGGAGTTCATGGCCAAGTATGGACCAGTCCAGACCAGTATGGGGCAGCACAGTCCAGTCCAGACCCAGTCCAGACCAGTATGGTCCAGCACAACCCAGTAAGACTCAGCATATCCCAGTACAGGCCCAGTACATCCCAGTATAGTCCACTACATCCCAGTACAGCCCAACAGCCCAGTGTGGCCCAGTACAGCCCAGTACAGCCCAGCACAGCCCAGCATGGCCCAGTGTGGCTCAGTACACACTACCACAGACATATCACAACCCAGTACAGACCAGTATGTACCAATACAGACCAAATACAGACCCAGGACAGCCCAGCTCAGTATGGCCCCAGTACATTCCAGCATGGCCCAGTACAGCCCAGTACGGCCCAGTATGGCCCAGTATGGCCCAGTACAGGCCACTGCATGACAGCACAGCCCAGTATGACCCAGTACATGCCAATATAGCCCAGCACAGACCAGTATGGCCCAGTACATGCCAGTACAGGACAACAGAGCCCAGTAAGGCCCAGTACAAGCCAATAAAGCCCCAGCACCGCCCAGTCCAGCCCTGTCTGGCCCAGCACAGCCCAGTATAGCCCAGTCCATCCCAGCACAGCCCAGTATGGCCCAGTCCATCCCAGTACAGCCCAGCATCACCCAGAGCCCCCCTCCTGTGCCTCCCAATCCCCCATCCCACTCCCCCCCCCCCCGTGCGACCCCCGGAGGTACCTGGGGGGGCTCAGCCCACGGACGTTCCCATCACTGCTCCGGGGGGGGGATCGGGCCTCGCCCTACCGGGGGGCCATGGGGGGGCACGGGGGGAGCACCGGGGGGGCCCGGGGGGGCTCCGGGGGGGCTCCGGGCCTGGCGGTAACGGGGGTGGGGAGGGGCGAGGGGGGGATGTCGCTACCGGAGGGGGGGAAGCACCGGGATACGGGAAGGGGGGGACCGCGATGGGGGGGCTGGGGGGGGGACCGGGATGGATCCGGAGGGACCGGGATGCGGGGATGGATCCCGGGAAGGGCGGGAGGGAGCGGGATGGATCCGGGGATGAATCCGGGGATGGATCTGGGATGGATCCGGGGATGGATCTGGGGTAGATCCGGGATGGATTCGGGAATGGATCCTGGGATTTGCGGGGGGGGCCGGGGGGGCGGGGGCGGGGGGGGGGGGGCCGGGGGGGGGGGGGCCGGGGGGGGGGGCCGGGGGGGGGGGTCCCCAGGCCGGGGGGGCCCCGGAGCAGCCCCGGACCCGCCGCCCCAAAGGCCGCGGCCGCCGCTGGAGCCGCAGAAGCGCCGGGGCGGGGCCGGGCGGGGCGGGGAGGGAGGGGAGGGGAGGGACGGACACGGGGATGGACCCACGGACAGACACACGGACACACGGACACGGGGACGGACCAACGGACAGACACACGGACACACGGACACGGGGATGGACCCATGGACGGACACACGGACACACGGATGCAGGGATGGACCCACAGACAGACACGAGCATGGACCCACAGACACAGGGACACATAAACAGACCCTTGGACCAACCCATGGAGCGACACACAGACCCACAGACAGACACACGGACACACAGACTGACTGACTTGTGTACCAATACATGGACTGACACACAGACACGCGGAGACAGGGACGGACACACAGACAGACACACGGGCACGTGGACACACGGACACACAGACACAGGGACTGACCTGTGTACTGACTCGTGTGCTGACACACGGACACACGGACACACAGACACACAGACATGGACACACAGACATGGACACACAGAGGGACACACGGACACACAGAAACAGACATATGGACAGACACACGGATGGACACACAGATGTGGACACACAGACATGGACACAGACACACGGATGGACACACAGACCCACAGACACAAACACACGGACAGACACACAGATGGACACACAGACACACGGACACACAGACACAGACACAGATGGACACAC